TCTCATGTAAAGACGAGCATTTGGAATAAGATCTATGCATGAGGCTACTATTCCCAACCATTGTAGAAAATCTTTGGCTGTTTTCTGACCCTGCATTAACATTTTGGTTGATTGTACCAATTTTATCAATCTGTCTTGAGATGGAAGTACTATTTTTTGTCTGAATAAAAACAAAGCTCCCAGGTATACAATTTCCTAAGTGGGTTCTAGACAAGACTTCTCTTTGTTTATTATGAAACCTAGTGAAACCAATAGATTTAGGCACTTCTGTCGATCTTGATATAACATTTCTCTTGATTGGTTTACTATTAACCAATCGTCTAGGTAAACTACTAGACGAATATTGTGTGTTCTCAAATATGCTGCTACTACAGACACCATTTTGGTGAAAACTCGAGGTGCTGATGTTGGGCCGAAACACATTGTTTTCCATTGATAACACTGGTTTTCTACACAAAATCTTAGAAATTTTCGATGTTTTGAAAATATTGGAATGTGTAGATATGCATCTGTTAAATCGATTGAAATTGCCCAATCGTTTGGTTTCACTAGATTCAACACTTTGTTTAAAGTGTCCATTTTGAAATGTTGCTTCTTGAGATACTGGTTGAGGGGTCTCAAATTTATGATGGGTCTCATTTTGCCACCCTTTTTGGGGACAAGGAAAAATGTACTGTAAAAACCTGTTTGACTCTCCTGATTTGAGACAGGTTCTATTGCATTTTTTTCTAATAAATCTTCTACCTCTTTTAACAAACAATGTTTTTGTATTTGAGGGATTGTTGTTTTCTTTACCCCTAAAAACTGGGGTTTTTGAAGAAATTCTAGTTTGTAACCCTCGTTGATTATTGATAATACCCAACTGTCTTGAGTTACAAGATTCCAGTTTTCTACAAAAAGTCTGAGACGACCCCCAACTGGTATCTCAGGAAGCATTGCAATTTTGGTTACCTGTTCTAATCTCCAGTCATTTATTAGATTTCTTTGGGATCCGAAAGGAGCCAATTCTGTCTACTGTAGCAGATGTAGACGTATTTCTCGAATTGTCCTCTCTTGGTTTGTAGTCATAAGACCGTCTTGAGTAATTGGGTCTCTGAGTAGCTGTTCTGTAACTGTTATTCAACACAGAAGTAGTTCTGGGTTTTTTAAAATTTCCAGAGTTTTCAGCAGAATTTTCTGAAAATTTGCGTTTCTGATTTTTTTCATTCCATTCTGGAATTAAATCCTTAAGAGAATCTTTCTGCTCTTTCCTTTCTTTTAGTTTCTCTTCTAATTTCTTGCCAAAGACGCCATCTTCTGAAAGAGGCAGGCAAATAATTTTGCTATGAATATCCTTCAAGGTATATAATCCAGAGTCTTGTGCTGCAGTTTTCCTTCTTATAAGATGGTGAAAAGCCCGTGCTCTCCCCATTTGATCTAGTGCCTTGGTAGACATGGAGAAAATGTCTTTAATTGCTTGAACTGTGTCCGCATCTTGACAAGTTATAGAATCTAACAACGTTCCTAAAGCTTGCTGCATGTAGCTTAATGAAATAATACCCATACGGGCAGCTATCTGTCCCTGATATGCCAAAGTTTCAATACTTTTGTACGGCTGGGAAATTAAATGTTTACTTTTCCCCCAACCTTTGGTTTTATTTCCGTGTTTTTTTCTTAACATTGGTTCTAAAATGTCATCTAGCCCTGGAACTTGTAGAAATGCTGCCGAGTTTGGATGAACAGGGAAACATTGTCTATATTCATCTCTATAAGCAGACAAGCGTTCAGGATCAGTAATTCTCCATGACTTTTTCAAGATCTCCTCTTGTGTTTTGTCTAAAACTAATCCAGTTTTTTCTTCCTCTGAAGACGAAACATTGCCAAAAATATCAGTTAGAGTTTTTGTATGCTCGTCACTTTTATTGATCAAGTTCTGAAATCTATTGTTGTTGTTGCTGTCCAACTTATGTTGATTGTTATCAAAATCATGGGCAGTAATAGATTCCTCTTGAACTGAGGATTCGTTATCACCCAATAGCTCACGTACTTCTCTGACACTTGGAGCTAATGATATCATATCGTCCATTTCAGGCACACTTAATGTCCCTTCAATTTGGACTTCACTTTCCAAAGGTATAATCGGACGCATTCCAGATGAATCGTCTACATTTGATACCATGGGCTCAGGTCTCCGCGTGGATAAACCACCGGTATCCTGATCCGCTAACGAATTATGAGACACGTTTGTCTCGTGTACATTATGAGAAGCTGTATTCTCTAAAACACTGCTGGACAAAGTTTGAATACTTTCTCTTAAAAAATTCATCATAGTGTCTAACCTTTCGTTGACTCTGTTTTCTAATTGTTCCATTTTCTCGTTAGCTTTGCTGGAGGATTTCCTACCGGACCGCGGTTTTTTTCCTTTGGCCTCCATTACTGACTGTAAATTCTGGAATTCCGAGCCCGAATTTAATTCGTCGTTCGAAATAAAACTGGCTTCTTCCATACTTAAACTAAGAGCATAAGAGAGTATCTATACCAATACCTTATACAAATACAAAGTATTTGTATCACTCCGTGGCTGAGAAATCTCTGCCAAAAAAATATGAACGTTCTGTTGCACGCCGGAAGATGAACTGATTTGGGCAAGCACCTGAGATGTGATCTCGGTCTTATAAGTGTTTGAATCTTATTCTTTTAAACGCTTGCCCGCGAGTTATGAACGTTAATAAGGGGAAGATATCCTAATGTATATTTATGACTGGTAAGTATAACGAACGAAATAAAATTGGTTGTTTCTATGGCATAGTATATTCAAAAATGACTAACACAAAATATGTTTGTTTGCTTGTCTGTTTCTTGTTTAAAGTCCCTCTTGAGAATTTTTCACTCATACATGGCAATGCAGCATTTTTTTTCCAGTGGAGGGCTACAAATGTAGACCTACATTTAGTGCTAATTAGGGTCATAGAGCAGTGACTCAGGAATCTTTTTTGTGCCAGCACCTAGTACAGCGATATGGCACCTTAATATATAATAATCCTTTATTTATTTATTTATTTACAATATCATCTGAAGGACCAGTGTCCTTGTTCCATAGTGGGATTCAAACCCACGTTAGGATCAACTCCATCCTTACTATGCTACTTTATAGCTGATGCTCTTATATACACTGTACCACTGTGCCATGCAGGCAACAACACAAAAAAATGAAATTTGATTAGAATTTCACAACATAAATAAATTTTATCAGATGTATCATTCTGGGGTTTTGTACCACTTCCAGAGGTAAACAAACAGTAGGAAAGTCAAACATTTTATTGTGCACAGATGAGTCTAATGGTGGGGTCTTTTACAGCAAGGTGTGCATCTGGTCACATACTGCACCAGTTCTAGCATGATAACACAACCTGTAGAATGTGACACAGCCAGGTCTAGGAGGATCAAATGAATATAACTTATTTTTAGGAATTTTGAGTCAAAAATCAGAAGAAGATTGAAGAAAATACATATATTTATCGATGTTGTTTATAGAAATCTACACTTTATTTAACTTTGTTTGAACAAGCCACTGTTTGAGAAATAAAATTTCTAGGCAAAATTTTAATATTGGTATGAATTAAGAGTCAGCAAGAGTTAACACAATTACAAATGCCACCTATATATATTGCCGACTGCAAAAAAAAAGAGTCCTGGACTAAAAATTTGGTCTACTAGTTAACTAGACCTTGCTCAATATAACCAATAAGATGATTTGGAATATGATAATGTCATATACCTGATCAGTAGCAGTTATCCACTATGGTATGTCTGGGTGGAAAAGTCCACATCCATCAGGCATTGTCCTCCAGGTGTTTCCACCAAGACTTGTTGGGGACATCTGCTGTTTCCACATTTTAAAGATCATTGTCTCCATCAGACTTGTTTATTTTAGTTGTTTCCACCAATTCCCTTTGGGTGTAGTTGTTTTTTTTTGCGTATTGGAAAATCATTGTCCCTAAAGTTTGCCTCAAGATTCATTGGCCTTTTGGGTGCATTTGCTGTTTTCCCATCTTGGAAGATGTTCATCAAGCTTGTCTATTCCAGTTGTTTCCACAAAGTTCTGTTGGCTGCAGCTGCATCAAAAGAAAAACATGGGAGAAAATATATCATTGAAGTTTGTTTAGGAAAATCCACATTTAACTGTTTTTGAACAAGTGTTCAAGTTTTCCTAACAGTGATTTAAGGTATGCTTTATATTTCTAAGCAAAAATTCAATATTGGTGTAACGAGTTGGTTTATCTGGTTGAATACCATAGCAAAAGTCAGCTATTGTTGACCATAAGAAATAAGACAAGGAAAAATTTTAGCCAGCTAGTTAACTTAAATCTGTTAATAAAATGATCTTGGATAATGTCACATACCTGATAAATGTCAGATCAGCATCCAATATCTATTCATCCTCCAGTTGTTTCTATCAGGTCCTCTTGGGTGCATCTTCTGTTTTCACCATGTCTTGGTTGGGTGCATCTGCTGTTTCCACCATGTATTGGTTGGGTGCATCGATCTGTTGTTTCCACCATGTATTGGTTTGGTGCATCTGTTGTTTCCACCATGTCTTGGTTGGGTGCATCTGCTGTTTTCACCATGTCTTGGTTGGGTGTATTTGCTGTTACACCAAGTCCTGTTGGGTGTATTTGATGTTCCACCATGTCCTCTTGGTGCATTTGCTATTCCACCATGTCCTGTTGGGTGTTTTTGCTATTACACCATGTCCTGTTGGGTGTATTTGCTATACAACCATGTCCTCTGGATGTATTTGCTATTCCACCATGTCTTCTGGGTGTATTTGCTATTCCACCACATGTCCTCTTGGGTGTTTTTGCTGATCCATAATGTCCTTTTGGGTGCATTTGCTGTTTCCACCATGTCCTGTTGAGGACATTAGCTGTTTCCACATCTTGAAAGATCAGCATCCATGGGCCCTGCCTCCTCCAGTTCCTTCCACCAATTCCTGTTGGGTCCATCTCTGCTATAATTCCACCATATTCATATTTATTATCAATAAGCTTTTTTTTCTCTGATCTGTAGAGCTAAAAATAAGCCAGGCCTAAAATAAAAAGTCAGCCAGTTAATTTGTCATGATTAATAAGATGATCTTGAATCATTAATATGTCATTTACATGTACCTGATCAGTGTCAGTGATCTCCTTTGATATGTCTTGATGGGAACATCATCAGGCAAGTCATCTCCGGTTGTATCCACCATGCCGGGTCCATCTGCTGTTTTCACATCTTAGAAGATTTGCATCCATTGGCCCTGCATCCTCCTGTTGTCTCCACCTGTTGGGTGCATCTGCTGTTTCTACCAAGTTCAGGTGGGTACATCTACTGTTTCCACCAAGTCCTGTTGAAAGCATCTGTATGCAGTTTTCAGAGATTCTTGCTAATATCTATAAGCTTTGCCTTTTCAGGATGGATCTTATATCAAACAAAAGGAACAACTTTTATCTTTGAAAAGTTTATATAAATTATTGTTGCAAATATAATTAATATGAACTGTACATTTGGAATATCAAAGAATGCACAATACCAATTGATATTAATTAACAGGATCTTAAAGAGTTTCTAATTGTAATGTTCATCTTCCCTTGGTGAAATTCACAAGCTTATTGACAACACTGTGTTTATAAACCCATGTTTACAAGAAGTATTTTGGCTTTCTACATGGAAAACTTAATTATTTCCTATAATTGTGAAAGAATGTCAAGAGTTAATTTACACAATTACAGAAGTTCGGCATATGAAATTGTAAGCTACTAATTGAGTAAATGAAATATTTGAAGATAATAAGAACAGTTTAAAGAAGGTCAGAGGTCTAATAAAACATGTACAATTCAAGTCAGGAGAAGAGAAACACACACCTCTAAAACACCAGGTGGAATCAGGTGTCATGGAATATCTATAATTATCAAATTCATGGAATGATTACATGTATTAAGTAGGGTTGCAATGTTTTTGATATTAGGAATTACAGTCAAACATATGGTCATAACAAGTCCCAGAGATGGACAATTTGGCTTCGTTTAAAGTGTTCTTCATTATATCCGTTACTTTTACAATATATTATAAGTCCAGTGAAATAAAATTACTAAGCATCCATTCACTACCTATATAATTGTGCTGGCTATATGAGAGAGTTTTACTGTATTAAGGGAGTTGATTCAATAGGGTCTTCATAAGTAAAATTAACTTTATATACATAGGAAAACATTCAATTTTACATCAAAATGTATAATTACATCCATTGAATTAAGTGTAGATGCCAAATTTTGTAGAAATCTATCATGTGAACATTTTTAAGTACCACAAAAATATAGGTAATTTTACTGTAGGATTACCTGGGGGTTAATATAGGAATAGAGTTTTGCACTTCAAAGCAAGTTTACAAATACCACAATAGATTAATTCTTTGCTAAAATTCTGAAGTGTATTTCTATAGTGTACATTATAAATAAGAAATACAAGAGGTACCTAAAAATGTAAAGAATCTGGGGGGATTAGGCGAGTCATATGCCTACACAACGGCAGGTAAAATATCAATTAAAAAATTCCTACAAATTCCACTTTTTGTGCAATTTAGGAATTATTTATAACCAAATGCATACAGTAAAAATAAAACCTGAATCAAATGACTTCAAAATTGATCGTAATTAACCCACCAAACTGGTAATACGCTAAAGAAACGTACTACATAAAAATGATAAAAATGGAATGTTAAAACTATATTTTTTTATATAGAGTGGGTCTTTGTACCATGTTTTTGTAAACAAATATTGAAATGTAATGGAAGGATGCATCTCTCGTCATTTTCAAAAAAATATAATTTAATAAAAAATTAGTTTACTTACTTAAATTTCGGAACATATTCTCAAAAACTCAAAGTCCAAGTCCAATTGTATGTTTGCTAAACATATATAGAACTGTTAATTATTTAAAAGACTATGTGGCTGTGATTATAGTGGCGGTATTGAAGCACACAGTTATTTGTCACAAGTGTTCATATCATTCTATGAATATTTTATAGATCAGGTTGAAATTTAAATGATACATTTTTTCACTAAAAAAAAATATTAAATTCATTTACTGTCAATTAATATATTTTCTAAAATAAACAAGTTTTCAAGTTATATAACATTTTAAATGCATTCTGTTTGAGCCTACGGTACACGATTGAAATGTAAACAATCATGGGTAGACCAGCACGATATGGCTGCTCTGTATGCAAAAAACAATTAAAAGGAAAAGTAAAGCGTACCATCTCCAAGCCCCTGAAAACATATTTGATAGAACATGGATATCAATTAGATGAAAAAGGTCAAATCTGTACCAAATGAAGAATAAATGTTAAGTCTTATAAAGATAGTGTCACTTGGACAGTGCTGTACAATGTTTAAATGTTATGGTAAATCGTATGACTATGAATTTCAGATATGCTTAAAGAGAAAAAAAAACCTGTGTGGGCTTACGATACGGCTAATT